GTCCCACTCCCATACATACAAAACCTTACCACTTCACGAGAATAAAATATCTCCTTTCACTAAAACTCAGGCCAATTGACAACGCCGCGGGGAATCAAAAGGCACAAAAGCAGGTATTTTAGCTTTGTTGAAATATCGAAATACCATCTTGTACTGGTCCTGACCATCGAAAGCGAGCCCTGTTATTTAAAATCACATGTTATTTTAAATATCGGTCACAGGTATCGATTGTTCCATGTCGATATCTGTGACAAGTCTTTCGTATCATCCCTACAACAGACAGTCACATCCTGTGACTCACAGACCTGGTCGCATTCACAAAATATCCCCCCTATGTATATGGGGTATGTTCTGTGGTCGCATTAAAGAAAATATAGGAGTCGACTGTTACTGCTGTTCCCCATATTTTCTGTTCTTTGAATATTGCTATTTGCAGAATCATGGGTGCATAGATTCAAAAATCATCAGGTCCCACGTCCCACTCCTATACATACAAAACCTTACCACTTCATGATAATAAAATCTCTCCTTTCACTAAAACTCAAGCCAATTGAAAACACCGCGGGGAATCAAAACGCAGGTATTTGCCTTTTTGCTTTGTTGAAATATTGAAATCCCATGTCAGTATGGACTACAGATGTTGTACTGGTACTGGGACCAGCATCGTAGGCGAGCCCTGTTATTTCAAATCACATGTTATTTTAAATATCGATAACAGGAACAGACTTTTCCATATCGGTATCTGTTTCTTGATCCTCAGCGAAACTGGGACGACGTCCTATGTCCCGCATTAACGCGACGTCTTGCACTAGGCATCTTAAAGATCTCTTAAAGACGCCTGTGTTGTGTCCCTGGGTGCCGCGGGAACTATACAAACAATGATAAAGCGCGGGTCTTTAGGTTTCCCTAAGACAAAACTTTGCACTAGAAATGGGTCAACGCAATTCCCCGAAACAACTTTGTGCCAAGTGTAAATAGCAGAGTGTGTGACATTTTAGTACTGACGATTTTATACAGGGGTTTTCTCAACAGGGCTCAAGAACCGGTGATATCGTTGCTATTAAGATAAGTTTGCCCCGGCTAAAAGATGCCAGGGTACCAAGTAAATTTCCAGATTGTCCCAATTAATTGTCAAGGAAAACCATTTATCGAAAAAGTAAAGTGAAAAATTATAAAAATTGAACAAGGTTAAGTTTCAACAAGCTATGTAGCAAGTAAACGAGAATATTTAGAGCACAGAAAGCTAGTAAATTTTACAACATTTGATACATGTAAAGATTTATTAAGTATTTTAAATTTAGAAGGGTGGGTTTGCAGCAATGATGAAATCAGTGCAACAATATTTAAAGTTGAGCAACCAGCTAATGGGGCTCCAGTAATCTCCTGGGATGTTGTAATTAGTAATGATACGTATATGTTATTTTATATTTTTATATGTATTAGTATGAATGAAATAAATTAATATGCTTTGATAATTTTTATTTAAAAATCCAATATTGATTTGAGTGATGCATAACTTAATTCTAAATCGAGTTAATATGTACCTATGCTACAAAACTGTCTGAGGAAACTGAAATCTAAAATTTCTAAAAGATAATTATTACTTAAGATATTAAGTACTTTGTAGCGTATAAAGTTGTAGGCAAGTATCTCGTTAGTACATACATATAATAAGTAACTCGTACAAGTCACAACTTTAGTAATTAAATCATATAATGATGTGATATTTCTAGAATATTAGTTTACACAGATTTGTATATAAAATATCCCTATTGCAATAATCGCGCATTAAAGCAAATAAAATCATTAAGCCCATACGAAGTGTTTTATTTCTGATTAATCACCGACGTGCTCGACAGCCTCTATAAAAGATTCTATTTGAATGTACATCGATATAAATATATACTTTTTGTTAGTGCATCTCTTACTTTTTGCCCGAAAATATAATTCTTCAATTGGGAACCACCAAATATTCTTGATGCTGTAAGTATAACAGAAAAATGACAAAGTAAAATCGATATATTTCCGAGAAGCTATGGTAAAGATCTGATATAAACTATGTGAGATGTTTCATACCACATACCACACCAATAAATTGTCTTTATACAGATCTTAAACACGTTAAAGGCACACAAAATAGGAAATTCCGAAAATATCGATGCAAAAGGTTCAATGTTTTGATTAAAAACCTGATCTACCGCAACACATCTAATGTCATTACAACGTCACTAATGGCGTGAAAACGCTCATTGCTGTTTGTGACGTGCGCGCTCTAACAATTAGGGTGATTTGGTTGTGGTTTTTGAAATAGTTCTGGCAACATTGGTAAAACGGTGACATGTGTCATCTGCCATATGACATATGATATAGCTTACAAACTATGGCTGCGGCTAGGTGCTAGGAAAGACAGTTTTTCAGCAAATATTCAAGTTTTTCGTTGTGCAAAAGTTTTTTGAAATCGGGTAAGAACGATTTAATAATATATCAAGCTTATTCAGCGAGTGCAGTGATTAGGAATGGCGTCTGAAGAAGAAGTGGAGGAATCTTTCGCCGGTAAGTTTTGTTTTGATTACGTGCATGCTTGAAAAATAGCGTTATTTACCATTAACAAAGAATACCTCATCTGAAACATTCTTTTTATTTGTGATAAGGAGTATTTATTGTGGTCAGTATCCAGTTCTAATATCTGCAAAAAAGTGTAAATTTTACACTGAATACCATGCTTACTTATCTAATTTAGATAATCATGTGGGGAAATGCAGGTGGGTTTCATTATTTTAGTGACAGCGCGGCTAGGGTATGCGGTCCCTTAACAAAATGGAGGCTATGAGACAAAGAATTGGCAGCTTGCAAATAGCCATTTGTATTATTCATAATTGTTGACGATTATTTCGGCATCTACGGTATTTACGTTATTGTGTGTAGGACTCGAAATGACACTTGCTTGACAATGGTCAAGGTTTACCCGATACGATTCCAATCAGAAATGTTCAGTTAATTTGCGTAATTATATTCAGCACCTCAAATCTAATGTCTGCGTCTACGGAGGCTAATATTAGCTGAAAATTGCTAATTTTAATTGTGTAAACATTTAAAAAAATTAGTTTGGGTAAATTATTCAATTATTGGCCAGTTAAGAAAATTTAATTAAAAAAACCATAACGCAATTAAAAATATCCTAGAAGCAAGTTGAGTAGGTTAATTGTACTTGGTATACAAAATTAGAGGTACCATAAATTGCTAAAGGTGCAAAAATGCATAGTTATTGGCCACATTTTAATAGTTGTCAGATAAGGTTTGGACCGTAATTGACCATATGAACTGAAGGGTTACTAATGCTACAAAAATGGAAAAACAGATTTATTTAGGGTCGAGTGAGGTAAAAGTAAATGATTTTGACAAATACATTTATCTTGCAAATTTATCCTCGCTCAAAAAGTAGATAATTATCTTTTTTCGACTTACAGATTTTTTACTATAATTGATCAAGCTGCTTTACATTGTAGTGAGTTGAAGTAAAAGAAACAAAAATTCAATTTTGGAAAATAAATATTTTAAAGAAGTTGCTAATGTTTACATTTATCCAACGACTTTTGGAGTAATCAGAAACATCTAATACTTCTACCATACGAGCCCTAACAACTAAAGGGTGTTCCAATAAGGACGACGGATTTAAATTTTAAATAAAACATAAGTACCTATACAGGGTGGCCATTTTCTGAATCTTTGTATGGGTAACTTCTACATGTTTAAAGATAGAGAATCCGTTAATGGGGCAGAATTCGATTGCCTATTTATTACCGTTTTCAAAATTTAGGTACCCGACTTGGTTCCTGAAATATCCTGAAAAGGCAAGAAATCAACACTTTTTTAATTATCACTTATTACCTGAACTGCTTAACTTAAAAAAAGTTAAATTTGTTTTTGGTAGAACTTTTTGTGTTGAATTCAATAAACTAGCACTCGTTGTCATAGTCAACTTGATTTACGAGATAACAAATAAACTTATGTTTTTTTAAATGGTAATCATAGTTGGCTGTGGGCTTTTTAAAATCCTTATTTTTTGCTGAATTTAACGATATAACTGTTTATATGTTTTTCTCTTTTTGTTGCCGTAAAACTTCAAAAGAAGATAAAAAAATGTGCAGTAGGCTATGGAAACAAGAACTATATTATCACACAAAGCACAAAACAATAATGAATCGTTTAAATTAAATGTTCAAATTGACTTCCGTTTACGTCCAGGCATTTTTTGGCATCTTCACATTCAACTCGTGAGTTGTGTGAATGTGCACTATCATGTTGAAAATATGCCAATTGGCGATACGATTCTAACGGAAAACTATTCAACATGTCTTCAAATTCATTTGGTAAAAAGTGTAAATATCTTTCCATATTTAAATTGTGATTATAAAAGAATGGACCAATAAGTTTATCACTAAAAAAGCCCCAGCAGACATTCACCAAAAAAAAACACATTGATCGCGTCTATTTTCAATTAGATGATGATTTTTATTAGCCCAGTAAACATGTTGTGTCTGTTAATTATTTCATTTTTGTTTTGTGCTTTGTGTGATAATATAGTTCTTGTTTCCATCGCCTACTACACATTTTTATCTTCTTTTGAAGTTTTACGGCAACAAAAGAAGAAAAACATACAAACAGTTATATCGTTAAAGTCAGAAAAAAATAAGAATTTTAAAAGGCCCACAGCCAACTATGATTACCATTTAAAAAAACACAAGTTTATTTTTTATCTCGTAAATCAAGTTGACTATGACAACAAGTGCTAGTTTATTGAATTCAACGGAAAAAGTTCTACCAAAGACAATTTTAACTTTTTCTACTTTAAGCAGTTTACGAATTATATGATAATTAACAAAGTGTTGATTTCATACCTTTTCAGGATATTTCAGGAACCAGGTCGGGTACCTAAATTTCGAAAACGGTAATGAATAGGCAATCGAATTCTGCCCAATTTTCCCCATTTAACGGATTCTCTATCTTTAAAAATGTAGAAGTTACCCATACATTCAGAAAATGGCCACCCTGTATATGTGTGGCATAAGTTTGAAACATTTATTGAAAAATGAAGTACACAGCATGAGGTTATGAATGAAATAAGACATGGGACAAATGACCGCCCGGCTTTGCTGGCACAGACGTGCTCTTTTCATAAAATTGTCAAGGGTCGTTGCGTACTTTGCGGTATTTCAGATATACAGCGTTGAATTTCATCTTTTAAAGATTCAATCGTTGTTGCTTTGCTCACATAAACTTGTGACTTTAAAAAACTGACTCGTGTAGTAATTCAACAGTTTCTTTGGCTGTATGGCATGTTGCACCGTCCTGTTGAAACCACATGATGTTGAGGTCCATATTTTGCAATTTTGGCACAAAAAAGTTAGTTAACATTTCACGATAAACGAACACCACTCACGGTTAATGCTTGACCAACTGCATTTTCGAAGAAAAATGGTCCGATGATGCCTCCAGTCCACATGCACACCAAACAGTGACTCTTTTTGGATGCATCTGTTTCTGAACAATCACTTGTGGATTTTCCGAACCCCAAATCCGACAATTTTGTCGATTAACGAAGCTATCAAGATGAAAATGGGCCTCGTCACGAAAGATGATTTTCGTTGAAAAACTCACCGTCCAATTGTCGTTGTTCCAAAATCCAACCAACAAAGGCTCTGGCTTCTGGCTTTAGCTTTTGAGCCAATTTAACTTTGCGCGCATGAGGCTTTAAATCTTTTGTTGAAATTCGATGCATAGTGGTTGTGGAAACATCAATTTCCTGAGCTCTATGCCGAATTGATGTGGTTGGGCTTTTCTCAACATTTGCACGTTCTGCTGCGATATTTTCAGTCGCGCGATCAGGACGAACGCGCGTTTCTGTTTTCACTTCAGTTTGCTGAAACTTCTTCATTAATTTTCTCACAGTGCTTCAGTTGGAGCATTCCGATGGCCCATAATTGTACGCATTTTACGAACTGTGGCTTTAAAACCGTCGTTCTTATTGGAACACCCTTTATATGTTCAGACGATGTTCAACGAGTGGAAAATAAACCATTTATATGTACTTACTTTAAATATATTTTTTTGTTTCTTCTACTGAAAAATAAATGCATTATCCCTTTACGCCGCGTAAAGGTTTACAAAAGAAAATATTTTTTTATTCTGCTTTTTTCTCTAGCAAATTAGCAAAAATGTAACAAACTTACTGACAAATAAATATTCGGACGCACTTTAATACAACTATTTTAAGGCGAATTTAAATAAGAAGTAACATCACCTTTCGGCTTTTATACGTTTTGCCTTTAAATCCACTAGTCTGGCATTTTTCTGGGGTGAGCGAATTTCAAATTTGCCACCAATCTAGTTTTTTTGCCTTTAATCCCAGAACCTATTTGATGAGGATCGTTACGCAATGATTTCGTCGTTCGATGCCATAAAGTTCAAGTCCGGACTGCTTGAGATCCACCATAAAACTTTGAAATGATGATCTTCAAACGACTTTTAGGTCGTTTAAGCTGTGTGAAAAAGCGCACCATTTTGTTGAAATATGTAATTTTTAATTCCAAAGTATTATTCGGCAGTTGGAGTTAAACTGCTTCATAAAATTTGTTGGTATTTTTCTGCATTTACAGTTCCATCAACAAAATTACATTTGCCAATGCTTTTACTACTCATATCCCCATATAACCTCTTGGAGAAAATTTACTGGGGTTTTTAATTTACCCTGGTCTAAAGCGTACAGTAAAATACGCTTTAGGCAACCGGCGCCCCGTGGGCGGCATGCGGCCCGCCAAAGCACCAATAAAATTTTGGAAAAAAGCAACAAACTTAAGCGTATACGTGCCGAAATGTGGCCGATGCCAAAAATGCGCGCTAACAAGAGCATAGTGGCAAACCTATTTTGGGGAAATCCCCAGCGAATACGACGGCTCGCTTAGCAACTGTAGCGTATAGCATTTTCAATTCTTTCGTTTCGCCAGTTTGCTCAGATAAAGACGGGTACTGTATACTTGTGAGTTTGCTACTGTATGTTCATATGTGCATTATGCACATAAACACGTTCAAATTGACAACCGAATGACCTTACACTACAATAGGTAATCAGAAATACATTTCTACACGCCACTACGACACGAAGCACAAAAGTGAATATGATAAATATGAATCTCAATTGACACAAAATAAAATTGATATTTTACAAAAATTATTAGATGCACGTTCTTAAAAAGAAGAGGAAACGTTAGTTAGAAGAAGTTAGAAACGTTCTTTAAAAATGTAAGGAACAAAGTTCAGCATTGGTCAAAACGTCCTTACATATTTCGAAATTAATTGCTGAACATTTTTTATCATTTACGGATTGAGAGTTCATTAAAAAATGTATTTTGGCAGTTGTTCACGAAATTTGTCTGAAAAAAATTAAAAAATTTAATAACATATTGAAAATATATCAATTAATGTGTTTAATACATTAAAAGAAAAATCTTCACAATTCGTGTATTTTTCTCTAGTACTTGATAAAAGCAACTATTTAACTAGCGCCGCTCAATTGTTGATTTTTATCCGTGCAATAATTGATAAACAATCTCGTGTAACAGAAGAACTTGCTGCATTAAAAAGCTCCCATGGGAATACAAGAGGTAAAGATATGTTTTTGTAACTATTAGATCTTTTCAACATGTACGATCTCAAGTGGAGAAAATAAAAAAATGTGACAACTGACGGTGCAAAGAACATGACGGGTCAGAATACTGGTTTGGTAGACATGATTAATAAAAAATTTAAATAATTAAATATTATACAGCTTCTTCTGCAACTTTGTTGCAGAGGATCCTTGCAAAATTGTTTCTTTCTCAACTTGAAAATAATAATTATTGTCATTTTCCTACTGTGTAATCGTTTTTAACCAAAAACAACAAACAATGTCCTTCGAATATTTTTATTGAGTCACTAAAAGTACTGGATGAAAATTTTTGTCGTCGGTTTCAAGGTTTTTATGCAAAAGAATGGACAATTTAATATTTGAAATTGTAAAAACACCAGACAGTTTACAACTAGAGTTAATTTTGACACACAATGCAATCTAACAATGTATATAAAAATAATTTTGATGCAAATAATTTATTTAAGAAATTTTGCAAAATCAATGATAATGTGACTGGAATTGTATTTTTTTATCTTTTAAGACTTGTAAAATTTTTGTTCTCTGATATTATTGTGTGATATTGATGTGTAAAAATAGTTTTTTTCTATATTTATTTTTAATAATATTTATACGCGTAGAGTAGTGGTGACTTGTACGGCTCGCAGGAAAAAAAATATTTTGAAAATGGGCCGCCGCCCAAAAAAGGTTGCCCAGCCCCGGTTTAGACAGTCTTTATGAAAGGCCTCTGATTTGTTTTGCACAAAGGTCCAAGGCAGCGTAGTCCATAGTTCCACAGATTTACTGTAAACAGTGTGTTTGGCGCCTAATGTATCATATTATGTTATAATACAGGGTGATTCAAAATTGGCGTCATTCCTTTTAAGGGGTGATAGAGGCTCACTTGGGGAGTACGAGAAAGATATTGAAAAAAATTTTTCGAAAATTTGTAGAAGATTTTAACAGTTGAAGATCAAATTTCAACTTTGTTATTAAGCATTATTTAGATCTTTGCTTCAAATTACGAAAATTTTTGATATCAAAAAAGTTCTCCTCTACAATTTTTTGATGAAAAATCACAGCGACAATGATGTTTTCTATCATTAACCGATAGTTACAGGTGGATAACCCTTGTCAATAAAAACAATAATTTGTCAAACTGTGACTTACTTTGAATTTCCTTTCACGAATTTGCGGATATGCGATTAGTTCAAGGGAAATGCTACAGTGAAATGGCAGAAGCTGAAATAACTCACGCCAACAAAGAGCGAGGAGAGTGGTTCCAGGAAAATAATTCAATAGTTCAAATGTTTGGTGTTGTATGGATTATTTATGTAAACACCAAACACCGCAGAATTCGAGGTTATGAGAACAGGTTGACATTTCGAAATATAGACACACTACCGGCATCACAAGTCCACCCGGCATCTAAAGCGAAAACATTTCAAATTCCTTGTCAATACAGGTACAAACATTTTAATTATGGTAATTAATATCTTTTACCTGATATGAAAAGGTGTCCACCTTTATTTATTTTAGAAAAATTACCTCAAAAGTCTAATTTGTTCCATGTTGGGTTGAGTACTTATCGAAAGAACACAATGATGCAAAAACGTTCTTGTTTTAACAAAAATAAACGTATTTTAATAAGTAGTAACGTTATAATCCACTGTATTGAAATTGAAAACGGCAAACACGTGACGACACCTTCCGGTCGCGACTCTCCGCTCAGGATTACCAGGCAACCTGTATACTCTAGGAACCTTGGTACGTACCTGCTAATTTTCAGGCAAGATTGAATTTTTCGTAAAGTACCTCTTCTGTTGGACCAGCAGATCTTTACAAGTACACGACGTTCTCTTTCAGTACATAATACGGGGTCGACCTGAACTTTTACTAGCACAGCAACACTACCAGTTTCCCCGAACTTTTTTTTATAACACAACGAACAATATTTTGGTCATTTGAAATATTCTTCATTGATTTGTCTTTGCTGTATTGAGAAATGTTAGTTTTTCGTAGCTTTTTATATGTTGCAACACCACGCGTCATTTTCTCATGCTTTTATGTGAAAGTATGAAACTTATCCAACTCAAACTAACAGATATTAATCTAAACACTTAGTTTTATAGCAGGTGCATGCGTAATATTGATTTTCCCGGTCAATCAAATACACGTCCGAATATTTATTTGTCATGGATTTTTTAACATTTCTACTATTTTATTTTGTAGTGGCTGATAAATGAGAAAGTAATGTATCATTTTACTGTATGCCTGGGAACTTGTATGGACCGTATTTCTCAACTGCAAAGAAAAAAAAATATTTAAACTAAACATGACTATTCAATTAGAATTTTGGCCGTCGTCCGAACATATAGTTATAGAGCTCGTATTATAAAATAAAAGTTGTAAATGTAAAAACATTTGATATTTGGTTTAATGCCTGTAACATATTAATTTAAGTTCATGTTTACATTTACCCCAAAAGAATTAAAATCATGTTTTGGTTTGGTTTAGATTTTTTATTCAAACATAAAAACTTATAAACTAGAGGTGTGCTAAACGGTTGTTTCTCTGGAACATGTTACAACGTTGCTGTTTCACTTTGGGACTCGGTTTCAAAATGTTTTTTTTATTAAAAATTTGCAATGATGATGATGGTAGAAATAGTGATGATAAATAACGGTTTAGTTTATTTAAAAAATAATTCTTAGCAGTGGCGAACTACAAATAATATATTATTAAGACAAAAACAAAACGTGGGTCATAAGTAACTTAAAGGAAAAGAAATGATCTAATGAATAAAATTGAATGGTTTAAATAAAATATACGTTTTACATTGCGAAAAGGTTTAAAAAGCGCATTTTCATTTAAAATGTTAATTTAAAATTTTTTGCGTATGCTTTTTACTAAGTGTAGCTCTTCGCTCGTTTATGATAGCACCCGCTTTGGAAAATAATCTTGCATGGAACAGAAGTACTAATATACGTGTGATTTTTTGTCAAAATCTTCAAAAATTTATTAATCTTCTTGTCTATCTTTTAACTGAACTTCCTCTAATTGATGGGGCACCACAGTTGTAACAGCATTTGAATTATTTACGCGTGTTATTAAGTCAACAATAACATTAAATCATCCACATTAACAGTAATACTTATAAACTAAAAATCCTGAATTATATTATCCCCGAAGCTAAAAAACATTTCACTGATCCGACCGATTATGGTTTCTGGAGAACTGAACAATAATTCCTATAGACGAAGGTGCTAAACACAATCATCAAGGCATCGCTCAACTAAACATATTTTCCGTTGACAAATGGTTTCTGGAACTGCTGCAAGTGGATAGATGGCTCGACGGTGTCGCATCGGTTCTGTGCTGCTGCGAAGTGCGAATCACTTTTTCGGGTTTATGAGACGGTTCCAAATACAACCGGTTAAATTGGCAATATGTAACTGGGGTTACAGGTTACACGTCTGGAACACTTATTTTAGCGGTTACGTTAAATACCGACCACCCCTATCTCCTTACAACATATTTTTATTTCATTGCCTGATTTTTGCTATTTCGTATATCGCATTTTATATTCATATAACACAGTATTCTTCTTCTTCAGCCCGTTTGAGTCCACTCCTGGACATAGGTCTTTTCCATTTGTATACGTTAAATACCGGCCATCCCGATTCCCCATGCCGTAAATTAATTTATCAAATTTTCATTTTCAGGAGGCGAAGATGAAGCTGCTGAGGAAGCCACGGAGCTAGTCGATAATGACGATGGGTCGGACGAGGGTCCGCCAAAAGGAGGGGTAAGTTCCATAATGGTATGTTATTTGATTCATACTTCTTAATATCTTAGTTTAGAGTAATTGATTATGGTGAAAAGAAGAAGTGCGAGTTTTTGGAAATTATAAATACTGTCATCCAGTAATAAGGTTAATCCTTATTTCTTTAACGAAATGGTAGTTATTGGAATGTCTAGTTCACTGCTTTCCTTGTTAAAAGCGCCTAACCTAATCTCTTTGACTAAGTTTAAATAATTTAAATAATTTTGGGAAATAACTGGGAACTCGCCAAGGAGAAGCCGGAATATACAACCGCAATCTCGCCCAAGATTGAGGAACTGACCGATCAGTTCGATGTTCTGGAACAAACCACCAAGGAGAAGGGTAAACGACTGTTTGACGCTAATCGCGAAGTACTGATTCACCAGACCTGCGACGACATCGACTCATGGATGAACAAACTCGAGAAACAAATCGAAAGCGATGACACGGGGTCGGATTTGGCAAATGATCGAAACGCAAATGGCCGTCAAGGCGCGCCAAGTCGATAAGCTGGAAAAGCAAACTAAACATCTGGAAACAGCCGCACCCGACAAGGACATCAACGAAATCTTGGTGAAAAAGAGCAAAGTGGAGGAGCGCTTCCAGCTCATCAAGCAGCCCTTCATCGGAAGACAGCGACTGCTGGAGAAGAAGAAGGAAGCCCTCCAGTTCCGACGGGATGTCGAGGACGAGCTTCTATGGATAGCCGAAAAAATG